GATGGAAATCTAAAAAGACTCAAAGAACAATTTTTTTAATTATTTCCACAATTAATAGCAGCGCACAGGAAGGCACTCATTTTTTGTCAATCCCTGTGCTCGGACGCAACGCTCGAACCTCACAGCTCGACTGACCGAATTCAACTGAAACGCTTTGCAACCTACCAGCTTGCAAAAACTGGCAGAAAATATTTGCGAGAGTGCAACTATTCTTTTCCTTAAACTATGGTTATGGCGTGTTATGTGTTAAAGTTGAGTTTTTAAATTATCGCGATTACTGACGTTTTCTCGTTTAAAAAAATGGACACCCTAACCTGTGCCCTAACGATATCCTTATAATTCCATTTCAGATGCTCAGAAACATATCTAATGATTTTATCACGGTATCTTTTCGAAAAAAAGTCTTTTACTTTACTTGATAGGGAAAGGCATACCGGCAACGCCGCAACAGCACACCGTCGCATTTCTCTCGAGATCTACCGCACGTTACATAACCAACTATTTTACAGACTTTTTCGATAAATCGCAAGTGTCACTGTTAATTTAAGTTCTGCTACAAAAAATTTCCTTCTAGATTTACTAGATTATTAGAATAAATAATAAATAACATAAAATAAACTCAGTAAGGACTGACAAATCCACAACATTTCAAATCAAATTCCAATGAATTGTCAAAGAAAACTGTCAAGGATCCCCACCCTAGAGTCCTCTTTCTGTCGACCATGCATGAATACATGGATAGCATTATATACCGTGCTGGCAACTGTTACTTTTGGGTCGGCATTTACATGTGTGGAAGTAAATCGTAGTGTTGGGAAAATTCGAATTAAATAATACGACTAATTCGATAGTAAATTAAAACTAACTAATTCGAATTATCTTTTTCGATATAATCGAGATAAAAATTAGCAGTATTTTATATTATATCTGTGGTAACCGAATTACAAATGAACATAAAACATAACCTCTTATGGACGAATACGAATATTAGTAATTAGTATAGTACTATTAGCTGCTATTAGTAGTATTCTTTCGTTCGGAACGAACTGAAAATTTTCACTTAAACTGATTTATAAAGGGAATCGACAAAGAAAGGAACGATCCGATATAGAAAAATCCAGAAATCATTGTTATTTTCTATATCACGTAGGAATAAATCAGTTTAAGTGAAAATTTTCATTTCGTTCAGAACGAAAGAATACTATTATTTGGTTCATTTCCATCTCGCCCAAATTTCACCGAACACCTGCCGAACACTAAAATTAATTTTCTTCTTTTATCTAAATAATTATTGATTGCAACTGATAAAATAAAAAGAAATACGAACCGCACGTAAAGAAGGACATACTTATATCGTTTTAGAAGAAGCTTTTATTTTAGATATGACCTTTTCAGTAGGAATTGAAACAATCATAAACTCGGCACTTTTAAATTTAAAACTTTAAATTATGGTTTAATTTATTAAACGGCTTCGGCACAGTTAATAGAATACATTGTATAAAGAATTTTTTTTAATTTTTTTATTCAGTGATAGAATATAGGTATGGCAATGGTTCAGAATTTGTTTAAAATAGCCCCTAGACGAGCACTAGCTGGGACGAATTTATTTTTAGGTTAAATTTATAATACTACTAAATAATTCGAATTATTAATTCGATTGTGAAATATGAATTATTACTAATTATTCGATGGTGAAAATAATTCGATTATTCCCATCACTAGTAAATCGCATAGGGATCTTATTAAAGGTTGTCGCCCACTAGAACGCGGCGCGGCGCTGGGAAGAGATTTTTTTCCGGCTGCGAAGGGACTGCGCCCACTATAGCGCGCTTTTGAAACGCGGAAACGCTATTTAGTTAGTCGAAGTGTTTTTTACTTACTTTACTGTAGTTTAGTTTTTAAAGCAATGAGTTCATGTACGGACGAGGCGTATTTTTGTGCTCTTCTAACACGGAGGAAGAGCAGGTGAAGAAGAAAAGGAAAGTTTGGACTCATAAGATTAGCAAAAAAAGGAAGAAGTTTGGAGAATTTTACCATCTTTTTCCTTATTTAATAAAAGACAAGAGCATTTTTTTCAGTATTACAAAATATAAAGGAAATATTTTACGCACTCCTCAATTGAGGGTTTTAGAAGCAAAACACCGGATATCTCTACTCATCATATTTTTTCAGAAGAGACAAATTGCTAATACTTTTGATAATTCTTATTTATTCTGATGTGTATATTAGTTATGTGGTGAAAAAACCCTGATCTTTTTTATGTATTTAGGTAATTAGAATTTAAAAATTGGAGATTGTCACTTTTGTTAAAAAGTGGAGATTGCCGGTTTTGCCTCTACACCCCTCAATTATATTAAATCTTTGATAGAAAGGCATTTCGTCCATTTGTTTCTAGTGTGGGAAGACTAAAAAAATATCATATTCCTTTATGAAAATCGATTTGCCTAATTTACCTTTAAAAATACAATTCTACCAGTGATACGTATCACTAGTTCCTAGTCAAAAAGCCAACTGAAAAGACTCGAATGCAAAATTATTTCCCTTGTGAGTACGCACACTGCAACGCGCCAAAACGCGGGAGACGGAAATCCCGCGGCGCGCTTCTGCGCTGCGCGCTCTAATGTGTGTTGGTCCATTTAAATACATGGCAAGCAGACAAAAGAAATTTCCACATGGCGCCGCGCCGCGTCGCGCCGCGGTCTAGTGGGCGACAACCTTAAGTCGGAGTGAGAGAAATACGACCATGGTTGCCAACCGTAGAACTTTTTCCCTCGTACATAGACAGCTAAAAATCTCGTATTTCGCTATAAAAAGGGTAAAAAAAACCTCGTACATTTAATAAACATTTAAAATAACTGCGATAAAGACAAAAATTTGCACTAAACATATTAATCTGTTAATTGAAGTTAAATGAGAAGACATGTTAATAAATAATTTGACCACGAGATTTAAAAAATAGGTAATCATTTATTAGTTAGTCTATAAAATTACATGTGTAGTTTACATGTATTTAAGGTTTAAGGCTATATGTGAAGTATCTCCTTCGGAAAATCCTCATTAATGCTAAAAAATAATACCCAAGCCGAAGTAAAAAGTCACGTTAAAGTATAAAATCATCTTTATCAAGATCTCGTACATAATTGTACGAGGAAAGTCCTATCCTCGTACCTCGTACAGCAAGTCAAAAATCTCGTACTTGTACGAGGAACCACGTACGGTTGGCAACCCTGAATACGACCGACGGACGCGACGCGCGACGCTGTGCTGTTGCGGCGTTGCCGATACGCCTTTCCCTATCAAGTAAAGTAAAATCACGATCGCAAACCGCTTATTTTTAAAAGACTTTTTTTTCAAGAGATAACTAGATAAAATCATTAGACATGTTTCTGAGCATCTGAAATGGAATTATAAGGATATCGTTAGGGTGTCATTTTTTTATAACGAGAAAACGTCGGTAATCGCGATAATTTAAAAACTCAACTTTTAACACATAACACGCCATAACTCAAGAACAACTTTAGATATTGAAACTTTTTTTTATTTTCAAGATCGGATATTTTACAATATGTTTACGTAAGAAAAATTCGATAAGGTTGTTTTTTCCATTCAAAAATTGTAAACAATCCATCCATTTACTTCTAGAGCATAGCAATTTTCAGCAATCATGTAATTTTTTTATTGATAAAGATTTTCACATACTGTCTACAAAGAAAATACAGCAGAAATATTAACAAAGCTCTTGAAAAAACTACAATCTATCATTTCTAACAGATTTCGAGATATCGATTTTTGAATTCAGAGTTCTAATAGCGCGACCACTATCAAACACCCACTCAATTCCACTTATTTTTCCCAAAAATACAAGTGTTTCTAGCTTGCACTTAAAAAAATTCAAGCTATAGAGAAAATTACGACTCGTTAATAAATAAACAAATCAAGTATCACGAGATGTAATTAAATCGTGAAACTGAACGCATGACGTACACCTTTCCCTAGAACTTTAAGTACTGACAGAGGTATTGATTGGGTCGACCGGTCAACTGCGACAAATCTGCTATATCCCCTTCCACATCTCTTAGCGATGTGCACAGTTTCTCGGTTTATTTCATACGTTTGGCAACGTGTTTACTGTCCTCTCTTTGTTCAGTAGGTACATTATAAACGCATTGTACTCTTCTTACATACAGAAATCTCGACCCAAGACTAACCTTTGCCAGCCCCTAGTTTATATTTTTTATATGTATTTTTAAGAAACTGCATAATATACAGACTTCTATGATGAGTAAGATAATATTTATGATTCAATTATTGTTAATTTTGTTATTATATTCCCCAGAAATTTTCGGAAATGTGAAGCAACCATGACATCATGTTACTTGTCACTGTAGTAGTACAGGTAGGTCTGTATGTAGTTTCTTAAAAAACTGCATAATAGCAGAAAACTAGATAGTAAATAATTACCCAACTCAATAAGTGACAATGGTCGTAAGCAGGAGTTTAATAAGTTGATAATTATTTTTTAATGTTAATAATTCCTGAATTGGATTATTATTAATTACCAAATTCGACAAGTGTCTACTCAAAATTTATTTAGTTTTCAGTTACAATTTATAAAATAATATGAAATTTATCATATTAACATAACTCGCCTACCCAAAGACTCAAAGAACCCAAAGAGGATTTTGTCTCCCTGGTAAATATCTAAACTTTTTGAAAACTGACATAAAATCTCCATTTTAACCAGATTTCATAAATAGTTTGTGTATTAACCAGTTTAATTGTGAACAGAAAGAATTAAAAAACATTTTTTTTGGATTCCTTCAAAATAACAGCACTTTTAGTTAGTCTGCAAAATTGCCGGTTACTTTTGAAACTAGCCAAGTGTCCATTTGAGCCGTAACATATACAAAAATACCCAAAACTACAATTATTTTTCTTTATTGAAATACCAAATTATAGCTATATTATGATTCTCAAACCTATGTTCATTACATACTTACCTTTTTAAACATTGAGCGATAGTTTTGGCATTTTGAGATGTTGCGGGTGTTAGTTTCAATTTTTGCTCTAGGTCCTGATCCATTATAATTTGAAATTTGTCCATTTTCTCATCCAATATATCTTCAAATAAATATAAAATTGTCAATTAGTACAAAGCCTTTATTAACCATGTATTGATATAAAAACAATAAAGAAATTAAAAGTATATAATTATTTATGAATCTTCCAGTAATTTTGTTTGTTAGGCAAATCTTTGTTTATATATAATTTAAAATAATATTTTTTTATATATAATAATAAATATAATATATTTAAAATAATATAAATAAATATTTTAATCATTAAGTTGATCTGTTATTGGCATTATCATCCATACAAGATTGCTACAACAGGCTACAACCCGTCACAAATGTATAGAATACATACAAATTACTTAAATTTTCTTAATCTAATCATTGTTTATGTATGTTAAAGTTGGTCATAGAACACATTTTTTGTAAACTGCCAACAAATTAACAATGGTAAATAGGTCTGGTAGATGGACAACCATATAAATACACTACTAAAACGTACTTGAAAAGTCGAAATAACTAAATAAGAGCGAGAAACTAGATCCCAAAGTGAACACACTTACCTGCTTACGTTCACAAATGCATTTGTAAAACTAAAAAAAGCGAATATATTACGCACTAAAACTTCATTAAGATTTTCTTTGCTTTGATATAAGTGTATTTCTACTTTGTGAACATATTTGAACACTCTGTTACGAATATTTTTTACCAATTTTATCTATATCACTTATACTGGCCATTTTAGTTGACCATTTTTCTAGATAATCCCTGAGATAATAGAGCTGGCAGGGAGGCAAACGACATGAATGTCAAAAGCACGTTCATTTAATCATATGGTCATTTCTAAATGTTCCAAAACGAAATAAGCACATACAGTCTCTTTGAAGTATGAGAGAGATCGAAAATCGGAGAAACTGGTGGAGTAGGTAAATGCATTGTCATATCTCTTTCTGATTACGCAATACCAACCTAAATATACCCCATAAATAAACTACCTAAAATGAATGTTACCAAGTGCATTATCTTTTTTTATTGGGAATAGAACAATTTTTAACTAAAATTAGAAAAAAAAGTGCATGTCTTTTAGAAATATTTTGTTAACTTTAAAATATATTTTGAAAATATACTGAAATAAATTAATTATAAATTAACATATATATTATATATTTAATACCCTAAGTTAATACCCTAGGGTATTAAATGTATTACCTTTGTATGGTTGGTAGTTAGTAACTTTGACATCATCCAATGAGGCGACGAGGAAATATTAGGAGCATTTGCCCACCTTCAGCTGAAAATTGTTCCCTTCGTGACATGGCGTCTGAGAGGAAAGTCAGTTTCTAAACGGTTTAAAAGTCTCTGTTATTTTTATGACATCATTTTACGCAAGGGCTTGTTGTAAAAGCCGCAAACATTTTCTAGATTCTTGCATTGATGGTAATGCATGCAAGGAAAACGCAACGGATGAGCGATGGGTATGCCTTTTTTCAGGATTTTATTTACACAAAATTTAGGTGACCGTAAACTTGTCACCTTTAATCTTTGTTTAATAGTCTTTATCTAAATTATCCTTTTACTTTTTGTTTAGGTACTTCGAGAAGCACCAAACCCATCCCTATCAGGTAAATATACACTCTAGGAAAATCTGTTGATAGTACCTAAAAATATTGGCGACAATTTTCTTATTGTTAGCAAATCAATTCCTTTTAACTTCAATTTTGTTGTAGTTTTCGATATTACACATAAGTATATAACAATTTCATCCAAATTCATTCCTGGTTGAAGTTGTATATATTTTGAGTACTTCTACAACAATATCTCTTAACTTCGAGATTTAAGGTTTTCTGTTGAATATTTGTTGATTATAAATTCCGTATTACCAATTTACTTTGTTCGTCTCTTTAATTTCGTCGATACATTATAAAATTAAAATGTTTTCATAAAACAAAAATAAACATGGCTGACTAATTCTGAAACTAACTAACCTAACATTATTCTGTTAAGTATAATTAATTATTATCAAATTTTCTTTTTTTATACAGTTAATTAATCAATCAATCTGACAAAAATAATGATTATATTTTTACATATGATTGTAAACATGTTTCAATTTAGAGTTATTTAGTCTGTCCAATGAGAGAAGATACAAGACACTGGCAGTTGTGTCTGTCACTTTAATTCACAGGTAAATCGTATTTTCTGTAATTTTTTGGTCGTTCTCTGCCGAAATATTCTCTAGATCGCTTGACAGACTATACCATCATATTAGTATAATAAATAAATCAACGGGATCCGACCAAACATAACATTTGTTTGGTTTGTACATTGTACCTGAATTGATAATTATAAACACTTTGACGACACCCAAAAGTGGCACAAAATACAGTTTTGCTGTGAATTAAAATGATATACACGACTGTTACGAATGTTAGTATTGTTGTATAATACAGGAATAAGTGCCTTTGTTGTAGAACTCGAAATATGGCTCGTCGAAAAATTATCCTTCGAGCAGTGAGAGGTACGAGAAGTTTCGAGACTCGCCCAATGGTAATTACAGGTCGGATAGTCCTCCCGAGTCCCAGTCTCCGAGAGAACGTGACAGATCCTATCAGTCGTCGAAGAGCTCCTATGTACAAAAAATCCGCGAAAAGGAGAGAGAAAATAGAGACTATAAGACGTCCCGAGATAAGTACTCTGGTAAGTATGTGTTAATTAAAATAGGATTATTATTGGGAAAACTGGAAATCGTTGATTTTCACCAAAATTAGTATACACCCTATTTTGAGGTTGTTGATTACGAATCTGAACTTTTTTCTTGGCGGTTTCTTACCGTTTTTCAGAAAAACAGAAAATAATTTCAACATTGAATTTTTCTTTATTTCGGTCCTATGAAGTAATAATTTCACTATATTTTCATTATATTATAGTTTATCTAAAAGCCACACTTGATTGAGGATAGAAAAATGTCCAAAATTTTACTGAAAAACACTTTTCTTAACAAAATAACAAAGAAAATTGAGACCAGATAGAAGTTTGACATTTCATATATCCTCCTTTCTCTCTTCTATGTAATTAGAGAGACAAATTGAAGCCACATTTTTGAGATAGACCTATACAAAATCCACATAAGTTGGTCCTTTTAGCTCAACAGCTTTGAACTATGCAAGCGTGAGAAGTGCTTTGCGATTAGTTGATTTATTTCATATTAACTAATAGAAGTAGTTTTCTAAGTTTCTATCTACCACGTAAATCAATTTAGCGTCTGACTATTCGCGCCTTTACTTATAAATTTAAATCTAATCTCCGACATATTTAAACAAAAACAAGAAACGGATAGATATGAATATGTAAAATAACAAGTTGAAATAATACCCAAAAAAATCCTTTATGGGTATTTCGCCACTGCACTGCAAGAAAAATCTACAAAATAAAATAGTTATTTTTTGTAAACACTTCTGGCGTTAAACCTAAACGGGCGCTGCTTGTCAGAAGTTATGTTTACAGTTATAAAAATTTGCCTAACAAAGAAAAAAATGCTTAACGTTTCGGAAAGTTTTCTCTTTCCGTCGTCGGAAGCAAAAAAATATAAAGAATCAAGAAAAAAACTATTAAAAATATTTAAATTGAACTATTCGAGAACACTTTACTTTTTAAAACAGATACGTCTACAAGAAATCGTTGACGTTCTGTTAAAATGACATTATATTAAGTTAAACTTCAAAATTAACAATTACTACCTGATAACAATTACTTAATAAGGTAAAACCAAAAAGCCCAAACTTTCTGTATGATTATTTTTAAATTTTACGCATGTTATGTTCATTTATGTTATGTTCTTTAAAATCAAAGAAGCGATTGCCATACATTGAATTAAAATAGATTATATTAGATTGAATTAAAAAAGCCTCTTTTATTTTTCTTTTAGAGGCTATCGCTTCGTTCATTATAATTTTGGCGTTATTAAAATTTATTCTGTGCCCGGTGTCTCAAGAATGCTGACAAATCTTAGATTTGTGAAAATCTCCCTTTCTTAAATAATCTTTGTTCTTTAATTCTAACATTTAAGGGTCTAGATGTTTCACCAATGTAAAATTTATCGCATTCACAGGGTATTTGGTATATTACATTTTTTGTTTGTTATTCTGTATTTATTGGTTTAGTATGTGATAAAATGGATCTAAGTGTATTTTGTGTTTTGAAAGATGTTCGTATGTTATATTGTTTTTCTATCCTTATTTTTTCCGAAACGCCTCGTATGTATAGAATTGTAACTTGTATATATTGTGTATTGTTATTATTGTGTCTATGATTTGGAGTTAGTATTTCGTTTAATGTTTTGTCAATAAAATATGGTGGATAGTCGTTTTTTATTAATGTATTTTTTATGTGGTTTATATCTCTGTTTAGTGAAATGTCGTCTGTACATATTATTTTTGCCCTATCATATAAACTTTTTATAACACCTTTTTTTACACTTATACTGTGATTAGATGTGAAATTTAAGTATCTATCTGTGTTTGTGGGTTTTCTGTAAACATCTAAAATTAGTTTATTTTGAAACTTTAACACTAAAACATCAAGAAATGGCAAACGATTACCTCTCTCTACTTCTAAAGTAAATTTTATGGTAGATTCGCGAGAATTTATATAATCCAAAAAAATGTCTATTTCAGAAACGTTATGTTGCCATATTGCAAAAATATCAACATAACGCAGCCATATTACAGGCTTTTTTGAAAAACTATTTATTGTATTATTTTCAAAATCTTCCATAAAAATATTACTTAACAAAGGAGAGAGAGGTGATCCCATTGCCATACCGAAATCTTGTTGAAAAAATTCATTATTTAATTGGAAATAAGTAGTTTTAACACAAAGTGTCAACAATTCCAAAATACTATCATGTTTAATTTTGTTCTATCTATTAAATGTGTATCTTGTTCTAATCTATCCCTAACTATTTTAAGTGATTTATCTACCGGCACATTAGTAAAAAGACTAACAACGTCAAAGCTAACCATTAAACTGTTAGAGTGTTATATTAATTTTTGAAATTTTTTCTATAAAATGTGGTGTGTTTTTAATATATGAATCGGTCTTATTTGTTATTGTTGAAATAATGCCATTACCAATGAAAAAATAATATATTATACATTATTAATATTTAGAGTTTAAATAATTTAAATAGTGCGCGGTCAGGTGACAGAGTTCAGCGATGAAGTAGACGAATCAGATCGATTTGATTGGCGCGTGCGCACGAAAATGCTGTTGAACCGAAAGGATAGACTTATACAAGATTGATATTCCTATTTCTTTTCTTTGGCTTCACTTTCCACTCATTGTGTAAATTCGGTACTAGCAATATAGTCTTATATACAGGGTGGTCCGAACTGTATTCCGGAAACTTCGGCAACATATTCTGCATATAAAAATAAGTAAAAAGGTTCGTATAAATATATGTCCTAAAATGCTGTTTTGGAGATACAGGGTGTAGAAGTTTTATTTTTATTTCGATTTTTTTTTCAAATAATTTGTTAATTAACGTCAATATGAGTTCTACTTGTAGTTCGCCACCTACATATTTCTTAACTGGTTTGAAGAGTAATAACTTTTTGTCCGTGCCTGTATAAAACTACTGAGTAAAAAAAGATTTCTTCGCGACTTTTTTTACGTAAAAAAGGTCTCTTGGTAAAAATCGCTACGAGTAATGGTTCTCGAGATATTTGGAATCAAAGTTTAATTTATGTCAAAAATTAAACATGTTGACTAAATAGCTGTTGGACTGAAATCAGAAAATTGAAAGGTTTTTGTGCCAACAGTTCAACAGAAACTGTTTTTTCGCCATTTTTACTCAACATTTTATTTTTTGTCAATAATGACATGTATTGACTGTTTCCACTCTAAATATCTCGAGAACGGTTGCTCGTAGGGATTTTTACTAAGAGGCATTTTTTACGTAAAAATCACGAAAATGTATATTTTTTCACTCAGTAGTGTTATACAGGTACAGACGAAAAGTTATTACTCTTTAAAACAGTTAAAACACATGTAGGTGGCGCCCCCTACAAATAGGAGTCATATTGACATCAAAATCAAATTTCTCATGTCAAAAAACTCCCAGACACCAATTTTCATCCAAATATTGACGTTACTTCAGAAATTATTTGGAAAAAATCGAAATAAATATGATACTTGTACACCCTCTATCTCCGAAACTAAGCATTTTAGGACATACAAGTGTTTTACTTATTTTTATCTGCATAATATGCTGCCGAAGTTTTTGGACCACATTGTATTTGCTTTTTAATAACCGTTTTGGTGTATTAATTTTGATTTTTCGTATTTTTCCGGTAGATGGCGCCAGATCGCCCAAGGAAAAGCGAAGCAGAGAATCAGATCACAGATCCAACAGCGATCGAAACGAAGACAAAAGTATTCTACATCCCATAAAGATGTCGCAGCTATCTCGAGATCGGAAACCAGTTCATAACAATTGCGCCGATAAGGTACAGTATTAGAGGAAATACATTAATTTTCGAGACCATACAATATGCGGCAGTTAAAAAATTATCGTAGGTATCGACATATTGATAATTCTGAAGTCACCTACTATTATTCGATATTTTGATATAGTCTGTGAAACGAATAACTTTGAATTTGACAGTTCCCGCGGGCTTTTCTAGTGTTAATTTTATTAGGTTAGCAACTTGCGGCCATGCATTTTTCTTTTACGCAATGCCGTCTCTAATAGAACAGCCTCTGAGCGAGATTTATGACGTCACGCTAGTTAGATACTACGGATTAATAAATATGTTGTAGAATACATGGAAAATATAATTATTCCTCGTATTTTTGGTTACATTGATTATGGCTGAAATCGTACTCCATAGTCAATGTAGATAGTTTTAGTGTTAAGATAATAATGTCAAGGTGTATGTGGCGCCATCTGTCGGAGAAGCGAGCAACTAAAACCGCAACGTGTCAAGAAATCTGAAGACATTTTTTTGTTGTAGCGCCATCTCTTAATCAAGTCGACAAGTAAGCGAAGCAGACAATAGAATGTACTAGTAGATGGCGGACCCGTCCCGATAATTTTGGATTGTTCGCGAAACACTCACCACAGCTATATAAAAGGAGCTCTTACGACAGTTGAACAGTCTGAAGATAGTTTGAAGACTGAAGTTTGATAATACCGCGAAATACCGTTAGAGTAATAGTAGTTGCATAAATTGTGTTGTAAATAGTATAAGTTGTGTGTACAGAGTAAGACAAATAAATTCGTTAAGTATTTTATCGTGAGTTTAAATAGTGGACCCACGGAATCCGTAACAATTGGTGTCGGAAGTGCGATTCAAGAGGATTTTAAGAAGAAATTAAGTGGATTGGAAGATTTTTAGACCGAATTAGAGTATTTTTATGGTTGGTACAAGGGGGCAAGTGAAGAAAATGGAGGAACTAAGCAAGTTATTAGAAGGTTTTATGGAGAATATGAGAAGAGAAAAAGCAGAAGAACAAGATCGCCTACTGAAAATTCTAGAAAATCAAGACAAAATTTTCGAAGATTTGAAAATTCAACGACAACAAGACAAACAAGAAGAACAGGACCGGCTTGAGAAAATTCTCGAAGATTTGAAAGCTCAACGACAGCATAACAAACATGAAGAACAGGACCGGCTTGAGAAAATTTTCGAAGATTTCAAAGTTCAACGACAGCACGACAAACAGGAAGAACAGGACCGGCTTCAGAAAATATTGGAAAATCAGGAAATTCGACTTCGGAAAAGCTTCGGGGACATGGAAAAAAAGCAACAAGCAATGTTGGAAGTACGTTGCCAGGAACAGCAGAATCGCTTCCAAGAAGCCGTAGAAGATCTGGAGGAACGCCTTCAGCAGAAAATGGAAAAATTAGAGATGGACCTACAGAAGACCAAGGTACAAGTAAGGACACCTGGCGTTTATGGAACTGCGAACCTCAAGGCCCCGACCTACGATGGACAAACCACCTGGACGATGTACCACCGCCAGTTTGAAGCAGCGGCTGTTGCCAATGGATGGACTGACCAGGAGAAAGCAGCGGCACTTGTCATCGCGCTGCGTGGCCCTGCCCTGGAACTCCTGCAAACTATTCCTGCGGCCCAACAGCAGGAATACCAAACTTTGGTCGCTGCACTGGACAGAAGATATGGCGACCAACATCGACGTCAACTTTACCAGGCCCAGATCAAGACACGCATGCAGAGGTCCGGAGAGAGTCTGCAGGAATTTGAAGCAGATTTACGTCGGCTGGTACACCTAGCGTTTCCTGAAGCACCGGAAGGATTTAGGGAGAAACTCGCTGCTCAGTGTTTTATCAGCGGACTGAAGGACAACGAGTTACAGAGGGCGCTGCAAATATCCCGATTTTCTACCAGCAGCGAAGCACTGGTCAGGGCGCTGGAAATTGAAGCTGCTTTTAGCGCCATCCCTAAACCGAAGATAAGATCGGTAACGGTCGAGGAACAACCCGAAAGCACTCACAGGGGTTTGGAGGAGATGTGTAAGAAAGTCGACAAACTATGTGAGCTACAAATGAACAAGAGAGTCAACAACACCCAGACAGAGAACCAGAGAAGATCCCAGGATATTAGGTGCTATAGATGTGGCAGGAATGGCCATATCCAACGGAATTGTCGCATCCAAATGCCAGTCCGTTCATCATTAAGAGAACATCGGCATATCGGAAGATCCCAGGACATAAGTTGCTATAGGTGTGGCAGGAATGGCCACATCAAACGGGATTGCCGCGTTGAAATGCGATTCCGTTTACCCTTCAGAGAACATAGGCACCAGGAAATTAATACCAACGGGCGAGTATTGGCTGAAGAAAACAGAGACCCTAGGATGTTTTCCATTAGGAGTCTAGGAAAAACCGCTGACAGTTTTGTGATTAACGGGAAGGCCAATGGTAGAAGAATTCGAATGACTGTGGATACAGGCGCTATGGTATCGTTGGTGCGGACTAACTCAGTGCAAGGATTGAAGATGATGCCTCTAAGAAAAAGAGTGTATTTACGTACAGTTACGGGGGAAATGGCCGTTGTACGGGGAGAAGCTTTCATGGAACTGGAGTTAGGGAATTTGAAGTTTCGGCATAGCGTTTTAGTGGCAGACATTGAAGATGATTTTATCATGGGTATGGATGTGATCAGTCAACATGGTTTTTCGTTCGATCACCATAGAAACATCCTGAAAATCGGAATGAGGAATTTTCTGTATCTAAAGAGAAGAGACCAGGAAATATGGAAGCAAGATCAGCGGAAATTGCGATGATACCTGGTGATGCCAAGAGACTGTGTTCGGGAAAATAGAGAAAACCTCTGGGTGCCGTGTAGGACGGATACAAATTATCGGCAACGAGCCAGATCGACGACGGGTTAACCTGGACAAGAAAATGCAACATCGCGAAAGCACTATCAGAGTACAGAATTTTAAACTGAGAACTGACGAACAATGGACGACGATACAATTGAGGAAAGATCAAATGGAAGATTCAGACATCGGAGCAATACTACGACTCAAGGAAGGTAACGGCGAGAGACCACCGTGCCAGGATATTGCGGACAGAGGGCTGGTTTTCAAGCTCTCTGGGCTCAGTGGAATTCACTGGTGATTGAGAATGGATTGTTAAAGCGCACGTGGGAAAGTGCGGATGGCAGGACAGTAACAACTCAGTTACTGGTACCAAGAAAAAAAGTTACCCAGGTATTGGAAGAAATTCACGGTGGTAAAACTGGAGCCCATCTTGGGGTAAACAAGACCCTGAGCAAGCTGAGAGACCGTTTTTACTGGGTGGATTATTGTGAAGCTGTTAAGAAATGGTGTCAACGTTGTAAGATTTGCGCAGCTAGACAAGGACCAAGTACTCGATCTGGAGGAAAAATGGAACAAGATAACGTTGGACTGTCGTTCGAAAGAATCGTTAGGAAGGAAAGATTACTGGACGTTCATAAGGCCGTTAGAAATAAGATTGCGCTAACCAGTGACCGGATGAAAGCTCGTTACGACCTCAGCTAATTCTACGGGATTTCAACAGGACTATACAGTATGGTTATATAACCCGCAGCGCAAGAAAGGAAGATCTCCAAAGTTAACTCCAGCATGGGAAGGTCCTTATACAGTCATCAAGAGGATAAATGATGTTGTGTACCGGATTCAACGCAGCCCTAGAAGTAAGATGAAAGTAGTTCATCTGGATCGATTGAAGAGATACCAGACAGGAAACCTTGATCGGGACGATCAAATTTGAGAAGGGGGCAATGTCAATGTGTATGTGGCGCCATCTGTCGGAGAAGCGAGCAACTAAAACCGCAACGTGTCAAGAAATCTGAAGACATTTTTTTGTTGTAGCGCCATCTCTTAATCAAGTCGACAAGTAAGCGAAGCAGACAATAGAATGTACTAGTAGATGGCGGACCCGTCCCGATAATTTTGGATTGTTCGCGAAACACTCACCACAGCTATATAAAAGGAGCGCTTACGACAGTTGGACAGTCTGAAGATAGTTTGAAGTCTGAAGTTTGATAATACCGCGAAATACCGTTAGAGTAATAGTAGTTGCATAAATTGTGTTGTAAATAGTATAAGTTGTGTGTACAGAGTGAGACAAATAAATTCGTTAAGTATTTTATCGTGAGTTTAAATAGTGGACCCACGGAATCCGTAACAATAATTTAAAAAAATATGTGGTCATCTTTTGACAAGTTTATATTAATTTATTAATTGCAGTAAACATTATGTGGTGTTAGGTTAGGTTGTGAATATTGTATATGTAATTTTTTGGATTATATTCGACACATTTTTTTCATATGACACAACACTGATGAAGGCTATAATGTTAGCCGAAACGTTTTTTTTAAACCAAAAAAAAATAATGGAAAACCAAATGAAAACTTAATTAACGTTTTTCCCTAACATAAATTCCAAAAAAATCAAAAATTTTAGAATAATTTTACGTATAAAATGACAGCGATCTTTATTTCATAGCCATCGCTGACTCCTTTTTTTATGATATTGTATTATTTGCAAATATAATTTTTCGATCATTGATACTTGCAAAATATACATATAAATTTTGTGAATGCAAATAATAATACATCACTATTAGTAGATATTGAATGTTTTTTTTTAAATTAGATCGTATATATATTGTATTTATTAACTGTATATTATGTATATTTCATGTAAACTATATTCATTTTTAAAATTACCTATCTGATTTGTTCAGGCACTCAATTTAAAGAATATCAGTAACTTTTTTGGCAGAGGGATTTTATATTTGCAATGTTGGTAAAAAATAACGGTCAAAATTCAAAGTTATTCATTTTATAGACTATAACTACTATCGAAAGCTATTGATATATCGGAAAAAATCCCATGTCTAGTCACAGATCACCAGCCTAGATCATATATACTTAGGTGGATAAGTAAATCACTACGGAAACTTTTGCAAACATATCAACGACTTCCATTTATCTGCTTTTTTTCTTGCACACGCGGTGCTTTTACTCTATCTATCCTTGTCGGGGACCTATCGCCCACGCGCCAAATTTGAACATTAATTTTAAAAATTTAATTTGTAAAATGCATATATTTGAGACACTTTCCAATCTAAACTTGTTTCATTTATCTATGAGTATATCTTATCAAATGATCTAGGGTCACCAGTTAAAGGATAATATCGATATTTCAGAGAGACGACAGGGAGCGGGTACCGAAAGTGGGCGACTGGTCGGAACATGTGAGTTCGTCGGGCAAAAAGTATTACTATAACTGTAAGACGGAAGTGTCCCAGTGGGAAAAGCCCAGAGAATGGACGGACAGGGAGCGCGAGAGAATTCGGGCGAGGGAGAGCAGGGAGAGAGAAGAGCGGGAGAGGGAGGAGGCGGCGGCACAGGGATCGGGAGAGAGGCGAAGCAGGGACGGATCGAGGTACAGGGACGGGTCGAGTCGATCAAGTACACGTAAGTAATGCTTTTTTATCCTATAGTTACCCTCAAGGATATCTCCAAAAATTCCTATGGTAATCGCAAAACGATTTCCGATGCACGTGATCAACTTTGAGTGACAAGCGATGGCGACAGCGCTGCCAGATTGTGATGGATTTATGAGACGAATCTTAATTTAAAAGTGACACAATATATTTATTATATCATTTTTTTAAAAATTTTACGCTTTCTTTTTAATTTAGTAACTAATATTTTAGTAATTAATTGATTTATTTGTTTTATCGCTTATTTTACTTATTACATATTGGCAAAAACTAGTCCATTATGAATATTATTCTAAGCGTTATTATGAGTTATTTATTTATTTATTGATGTACGTCTTACAACGCCATAAGTGGTAATAACAAGTAAGAGGGAGATTTTCACAAACTAATAATCACAAAATTTAATATAAACTAACGTAGAAATAACTTTGAAAGTGGTGTAATGTGCTTATCAATCAAACTTACTTCTGGTCTGCAGTTAAGGGTAATAAAGGACCTTTATTGTCACGTTCTCGTTCAAAATATTTTATCAGGGAAGCTGCCAAGCTCTTTGCTTCGACTGTTTTAATGTTTCGGCATATTTTCAACACACAATTTCAAGAAATGCAGTACAAAAACTCGAAAATTTAGTTCATAAAAGAACTAACTGTTTGTGCTTAAAATTACTATTTTTTAAAAAAGACTATGAAAATAGGCAAAAAACGAGAATTACTCACAAAGATTCAACAACACGATATTATACAAAATAATGACCGACATTAGGATAATTGTCAAATAATAAACGACAACCTTACTGAAAACGGCGCAATGTGACCAACATAGCGATACTAAAATTCGGTTTAAACTAATTTTTGTAGCTTTAATCCAAATAAAATATCTATTAAATCATTTGCTCTATAAAGTAAAATGAAGAGCTGCTTGGTATCTTAAATTATACAACAAATTTAAACATTTTTGCCAAAATTTCATTTAGTCAGGTTTATAGACTTTAGTGTCAATGTCGATATTGTCAAGACTTAAATAGATGTCAACTTGGGTTTAAATCAAATTGGGAAAAAACAATTTGATATAGGCCCAAGAGATCGGTTACCTGCCTGACATCGACCCAGATATGTTTTTTAAATAACATTAATAATTAAACAATTAAAACACAACAATCTCGGGTCGATAATCAAACGCAGGCTACCAAAGTTCGATTTCCTCATGGTCATAGCCGGGTGAATGTAATTAGATGAAAACAGATTGGAACGACGTAACCGGCGATGACAACGAGGGATAGAAAATATAAAAATGTATGCTGAGGAGAGTGGGGAGGTTAGTCCGTCGATGTGAGTCGCATTGTTAGTCCGTGAGTTGGCTAGTGAGAACCAATAGAAGACAGCGCAGGATGAAGATGTTCCTGTAAGTACTTCTTTAAGTAAACCGTTAAGTCTTGGCATTCCCCAAAATTGTTATACATTGTAAACCTTATATTAAATAAATGCATATTTTATCCAGTTGTTGTTTTGATTGAGAGAGAGAACCTGGTATAGCGACTCTAGCAAACAACCCCCAGCTAGGTCGCGACATGTGGTGGAGGCGCCGGGTACTCTTTTAATGCTTTTTTACTAATTTAATGTTAGTAATATATGGCAATCGCTTCTTCGATCTTAAAGAACATAACATAAATAAACATTACATACGTAAAAAATTAAAAATAATCATACAGAAAGTTTGAAGCTTTTTGGTTTTACCTTATTAAGTAATTGTTATCAGGTAGTAATTGTTAATTTTGAAGTTTAACTTGATATAATGTCATTTTAACAGAACGTCAACGGTTTTTATAGACGTATCTGTTTTAAAAAACTAAGGTGTTCTTGAATAGTTGAATTTAAATATTTTAAATAGTTTTTTTCTTTATTTGTATTTTTTTTTGCTTCCGACGACGGAAAGAGATAAACTTTCTGGAACGTTAAGCATTTTTTTGTTTGTTAGGCAAATTTGTTTATCTGTAAACCTAACTGTGACAAGTAGTTTCTGTTGGATTAACGCAACAGTGTTTACAAAAAATAACTATTTTATTTTGTAAATTTTCTTGCGGTGGCGAAATATCCATGTAGGAATTTTTGGAGAGATGAATCCGCCAATCGTATAGACATTTTTTCCTCAAGGATATTGAATTTGAGGGGATTTTTTGTGAGTGAAGCTTGATTTTCATGCATCCGTTGTCCGATGATACGATGATACGATATTAATTTTATTGGTTGAATTTAAAGGCTTCGATTGGTTAACCGTTTCTAACCAATCGAAGTCTTTAAATTCAACCGTTTCTAACCAATCGAAGTCTTTAAATTCAACCAATAAAATTAATATCGTATCGTCGGATAACGGATGCATGAAAATCAAGCTTTACGCGTTATTTTTATAAACTGTAGGTCACGAGAAACATTCCAACTCTCGAGGCTCAAATGGCAGCGGTAGTAGCAGGGACACCTCTCGCCATTGGAGTAATAGCAGCTCTAGTCGTGAGACCCCGGAAGGGCCTCCCAAAGATGGTCCATCGGATTGGTAAGAGTCATGATACTCTAAAACATGCCTATTTTCACTAGGGTGTCTTTTATTTGCCAAGTTGATCATTTATCTCACGACGCACAGTACTTCGAACATATGGCTCTAGAGGACAAAAATGCAAAACTTCTCTTTTATTGTAGGCAATTTATTCAAACTAGGTTTATTTGACACAAATGATGAGTACTCTCATTGTACTAAATGATGATGACTAAGAACCCACGTTTATGAAAAAAAAATCTTGTCATCATCTAAGGAAATAATAATTTATAGTATGAAAACGGTGTAAGTAATAAATAAATCGCTGTGATAAAAAAGAATTGAAATAACATTAGAACATGATTCCTACAATATAAGCCTATTATAAGATAAAAATGTTTTTCTTTAATGAAAAAGAAACATTAATGTTATATTTAATTAAAAAAAAAACATAAGATACTATAAATTTACTTTAGGACAACAAAATGCATAGATCGTAACTACTCTGATTCAGAAGAATCACTGCTGACAGAATCTTCCAAATTTATAGTATCCAAATCACAGGTATCCTCACATATAAGATATTTCTTTAATTGAAGTATACTCACATATAAGATATCATTTTCTAATATGTTACTTTTTCGCGTTGTTACCGTTCTTTTTGTTGGTATGAGGGGTTCGGATGTGAATAGTTACCTCTTTAATAGACCATATCCATATATTATTTTTTCTTTTTCTTGGGTATGAGGTTTTATAATAAATTGAAAGATGGAAACTTTTTTTATTCGTTTCGCTCCAACATAGTGGGCTATTTCAGGCACAAGTGGTGTCTCATTTGACTGGAAGGTTCATCAATATCTAATAAAGAACACATTTTTTGAAATACAAATAATTTTGAGTTCTTGTCCTTATGATCAAGCCAAGTATTAACCAGATCGGCATTGCTTATCAATTTTACTCCATCTGAAAAGTATTATAAAATAAAGTTCGTCGCAAGCAGACGCAGGTGAACTATACAAAAATTAAAAGTGTATGAATATGACAACAAAAATATTCAATAAATATGATATGTTTTGATATGTTTTTTTTAAATGCCTTTTTGAAGTTTGAAAACGTAAAATTTTTATACCCATTTAAGAATCATCTTAAAAAATAAATAAAAACTAAACAATCACGAACTTGTTTAGAAATAAATTTAAAGTACATTCCTTGTTTAATAATATCCATAGTGGCTTTCAATTAAGTACGTACAGTTTAACTCCATAATATACAGAACTACTATGAATGTTATTCTTTTCATTGATAAGATAATGATCGCAAAATTTATTTTTAGTGAAAATATTTGCTAACAAAAAACGCTGTTTATGAAAAATAATATACAGGATGGTTGAACATTGCTATAAGTATAAAATTACATATTCAGATATTAGTAAAATTTTACTTTTTTTTCGATTTTTGTCCATGGGACGAAGCACTGTGCGACGCCCCCTTAATTTTTAGTTTATTGTCTAACAAAAAATAACCGACAATTGTAAACTCTTAAGATTCACAATAAACCTTGTCCCAAAGACAATTCATTTCCCATTTAAATTACATGGGAATTTGCCACTTTTTGCAAATATATTTTTTTCCTCAATCTTGTTCTCTCGCAGCCATGACAATCACATATTCTTGTACAGAACTGAACGCTCTACAAAAAAGGTCTCTTACAATTTTTCGATAAACCTACTCCTTCAAAAATTATTCACGGTTAAAGTTAACCACTCGGTAAATTTCTAAATTTTTCAGCTTTTTTGACAAAATTATGATTATTTTTGAAAAATTTTATCGATTTGAATGAAAAGCAATTTTCATGATACCATGATGAATAATTTTGAATCATAGTTAATTCTAATACCTATTATTTTTGAGCTTGTATTCTTTTGCAGTACTTAATCTATTGAGTTGACGATTTGAATTTATTTTTACAAACATTCTTGCCAACATACGGATTTTTCTACGCAAGCGCACATCAACGCATTTAGTATCTCGACAATATAGTCACTTGCGTCTAGCCAGACCGTGCAACTCTCCAACTGTCAACCCACAGTTCCGATGGCGGTCGAAGTCTTCCGATCATTTTCTAATGATACCCGCCAAATTTAAATCGTGGGTTATTTTTAGTAGTGGGAACTATCGAATGAATACTATCGAAACATTCGATAGTTGCAATTCATTCGAATAATTCGATAGCTAGTAAGAAAACATTCGTTGAAAACTATTCGAATAAAAATTATCGAATAGATGCGTCATCTGCCTTGAAATATTGTATTCTAGTAATTCGGCAGCAAAAACCATTCATTTATAAAATTCATTCATTTATGAAATTCATTTATTCGTCAGGATCGATTATAATAAAATATTAACTGGATTTTAGTTGTCGCCCGGCGACGTAGGTTTCTTTCCGAGAAACCCGACAGCGGTCGGTGGCAATGCTATGAAAGAAGCCGGCATCTTTGATTTTTTGCGGAGTCATATAAAGATAAGGACACATTATTTTTTTTATTGAGGTGCTAGTATTTACACAGAAAATACATTATTAAGGGCGCTGTTGCCATATATTGGTATTAGTTGATATTAGCAAAAAATGTTATTGTTTGGCTTTAGTTAGTCATGGATAGTATGTCTATATATTTTGCATTTTTTTAATTAATATTCTGTTGTTACATTCTGCAATAATACTTGTTATTTTGGATGTAGGAAAATGATTTTTAATGTTTTTAAGCAAAGACTGATTTAATAAAAATAATAATAACAGTAATAATTTGTTATACCTATTAACAACAAAATTTAAAATAATTTAATATAAACATTTTTTACGTAGTAACTTTTTTGGCAACGTTGATTTATTAAATAATAATAATTACAGAACGAATTTGTTATATTAACAACAAACTTTCAAATCGTGAAATATAAACATTTATTAATTTTCTAAGCAGCATGCAGTGTAATGGAAGGAAAATATAAATAAAAAATTAGAAATCAAAATTATTTATATTAGGTACTTTATATTACTATTTAAAAATAATATTTACTTTTACTGGCATTTACTTTAAAAAATAAATGAAATATTTCTTCGCAAAAAACTACATGTAAGAGAATTAGCATAAACAAAATACAAACATCGTTAACATTTTTTTTTAAATTAGCACGTGTAAAACTTTCAATTTAATTTTTTCACCCCATAGTTTGAGTTCGATAACCATTTACTTAACCACATTACTTAAATATGATTATTAAGTTCAACTAATTCATATTATTAAAACATCTAAAATACAAATAATATGTATTTTTAAAATTAATTCTAAGTTCATCTCATCTCTCTTAAAAATTGCTACTTCTCAAAATTTCCCATTAAAAATAGACCATATACCATATAAAAAATAAAATAATTGAAAGATCGGGCTACGGAAAATCACACAAATTTTCGGAAAAATTTTGACACCTGCACACGCACACAATCGTCAATTAAAAAAACTACTATTTTAGTATTTTAAATATTTTAATAAAGGCAAAAATAGCACAGTATTTATAAGGCGAAGTTATAAAAATTTGGAAGAACTAATAATGCACTGACGCACACAAAAATCAAACGAATACTAAATTTCATTTATCAAAAGCATTCGATAGTCGTGGCTCAACGATAACCATTTAGTCACACGGCGAGGTTGTCACATATGCTTTAGTATACAAATGAATGAATGATTTTATTCGAATAAAACCATTCGATAGTTGAAATCATTCATTCAGTAACCATTCGATAGTTTAATTCATTCGATAGTTCCCATCGCTAGTTATTTTCTTAACTTTCGAGAGTAAGTTCTTAAGTGATAGTAGCATAATTTAACCTAAATTTCAAAAACGTACAAATTATCTATACTAATATATAAAATCCATAAGTGACTGACATACTGATTAATCACGATCCTGCTCAAACCAATCAACGTAAGAAGCTCAGTTTTGGCATACAGGTTGATTCTAGGGTGTAGAGGTTCGAAAAGAAGGGATTTTTCGAAATTCCAGTTCCAAGAAGGCAAAACCACCCCTCAAATATTACAATATTTTTTATTTAAAAAACGGTCAAGTTTCCGAAAAAACGCTTAAACACGTATATTTTATTTTGTTTTTTACATATTTTCAGATTTTTTAAAAATGTATACAGGGTGTTTCGAAAAATCTGGTCATTGATTAATCACGATCCTGCTTAAAGCGTTTGACGTAAAAAGCTGATTTTCGGTAAACAGATTGACTTTAGGGTGAAGAGGTTCGATAAGAAGGAACTTTTCGAAACTCGAATTCTGAGGGGGTGAAACTATCCCTCAAATATTAAAATATTTTTTAATAAAAACCGGTGAGTTTTTGGGAAAAACTCTTAAACACGTATATTTTATTTTGTTGTTTTACATATTTTAAGATTTTTATAAATTTATACAGGGTGTTTCATAAAATATGACCATTGAGTAATCACGATTCTGCTTAAACTGCTTGACGTTTAAAGCTGATTTTTGGCAAACGGATTGGCTGTGGGGTGTAGAGGTTCGATAAGGAGGGGTTTCTCGAATCTCAAATTCCAAGAGGGTGAAAACGCCCCTCAAATATTGGACAAGCATAATTTCTTTGGTTTTTTACATATTTTGAAATTTTTTAAAAAATCATAAGGGTGTTGCAAAAAGTTGGGTAATTTCTTAACCACGATTCTGCTTAAACTGCTTGACGTAAAAAGATTATTTTTGACAAACGGATTTTTCGAAAGTCAAATTCCGACGAGATAAAACTACCCCTCAAATATTACCAAGTTATATAATAATATCGACATATTGTTTTTTCTCATGCTGATATAAATGTGAGAAAATTTTATCCAGTTTGTATGTTAATGGAAATTCTTGCTTTGCTTTATCATCACCATTACAAATGATTAATTCGACTCGAACGAAGTCGCTGGTACACGCTAGTTTATTATATTATAAACTTGTAACTTTCGAGAGTAAGTTCTTAAGTAATAGTAGCATAATTTAACCTAAATTTCAAAAACGTACAAATTATAATAATATATAAAAGTTCTACAAAATTGGTCGGGTATTTCGCGTGCAATCTATAAACAAAAAAAACTTACCCCAAACTAACCAACGCAATCAAAATACACCGTTGGCGTATTTTGATTTGTCAAAGAAGTTAAAGAATTTAGCTATTTACCGAGTGGTTAACTTTAACCGTGAATAACTTTTGAAGCAGTAGGTTTATTGAAAAATTGTAAGAGGCCTGTTTTGTAGAGCGTTCAATTCTGTAAGAATATGTGATTGTCATGGCTGCGAGAGAACAAGATCGAAAGAAAAAAAATATATGCAAAAAGTGGCAAATTCCCATGTAATTTAAATGGGAAATGAATCGTCAAGGTTTATTGTGAATATTAATGGTTTACAATGGTCTGTTATTTTTTTTTAGACAATAAACTAAAAATTTAGAGGGCGTCGTGAGAGAAATGATCAACTTGGTAAATAACGGACACCCTAATTTTCATTCCCATTCCCTGGTTTTCTTTTTGTGGAACAACTGTTGTGAACTTGGTAGAATTCCAGAGCGCAGCGAAACAACTGTTGCGAGTGTGGTAAAACTCATAGAACGATTATCTCGGCATTGTTGTAAACTTGGTAGATTTAGACCGTACACACACGGGTCGTTTCAAACTCGAAGCCGAAGCGTATCGAACTCTACTTCCTACGTAAATAATACTAGGTCCACGAAAGGGTCGTTTGGCGATCAACGCGGAGTTGATGTGATTCATACTATTATTTACATACGAAGGTAGAGTGGAGGGAGATTCGCTTGGAGTTCGGGACGCTTCCGCTTTGAAAGCCAAACGACCCGTGTGTCGACGGTCTTACAGTTACGAGTGTGCCTTGAGGTGTGTCTAGATCTGACGAGACCAGAGCGAGACGAGCTAAGCGAGCCATTCCAGATTTGCGGACTGTGGACGGGTCTCGCGAGACAACCCACGGAGTCTGGTTATAATCCATCCTCTGTCGGGTTTTCGACGGCCGATCAAAAAATTCTCGCGGCGCAGTCTGGACTGAATTTTGTAACTTTGACATAAAAACGTTACGCTTTCAAAGCGGTAAGCGAAAGTGTTCGATTAGCGGAACGCCAGGCAGTCGATTTTGGTATCCTCGTTGCCCTGCGAATCTCGTTTTCTGGATACGCGTTGAGATGATCCTGATATAAATGATACATGATATTATAAAGAAAACAAGGTATGATATTGCGCAGGTTGGTCGCTACGTCACAGTTGATAACGGCACCATTGGTCGGCACTTTCCGCGCACCAATTTCAAATCGTCAAACTGATGACACATAATAAATGTGAAATTTACTTTTCAAATGTCAGGCTCAGTGATTTGACATAACTTTTGAGGTTATGACCTAATTTTTCTCTATTTTATGTCTTTTTTTATTGGTGGCAATTGAACAACAGTGGCGTGCATTACATATAAGCAAAAAAGCATTGCCTACCCTTCGATTTATTCAAGACAGACGCAAAATAAAAATATATTTGTCTGATCAATTTTCATTATATATCTACCTACAAATCCTACAATGCGACCTACATTGTTTTATTTTTCTAAACAGTAAGTTAGTATTGTGTTTATTACGGTTGACACATAATAAATGTGAAATTTACTTTTCAAATGTCAGGCTCAGTGATTTGACATAACTTTTGAGGTTATGACCTAATTTTTCTCTATTTTATGTCTTTTTTTATTGGTGGCAATTGAACAACAGTGGCGTGCATTACATATAGGCAAAAAAGCATTGCCTACCCTTCGATTTATTCAAGACAGACGCAAAATAAAAATATATTTATCTGATCAATTTTCATTATATATCTACCTACAAATCCTACATTTATTTATTTATCGTATGGCTGCACATGACATAAAATGCATAAAAGTGTATAAAAACTATTCCAATTCACAAACAAACATTTAAATTGTATATATAGTCAATTGAGGCGCCAGAAAAAAAAACACAAATCCTACAATGCGACCTACATTGTTTTATTTTTCTAAATAGTAAGTTAGTATTGTGTTTATTACGGTTGCAAAGCCGGAAACATCATACAAAACAAACGCCACCTGTTCAACGTCTTATTATTACCTAAAAAACGCATCCCATTATTCGAAATCGAACGCACGGCCGCAACTTAACGTTACATGGATATGGACAAGCAAAAGCAGTGCGTTACCGCAGAACGGATGCACCCGATGTCTCGATCCCGCCGATGCGGTATTGCCAGTTCCGATGTTATTACAGAACTATGTAAGAAACAGTCCATGTTATTTTATATGATCAATTTTAAATAACTGTGTTTTAGAAAGATTTGTATTATGTAGCAAATTAGAAATTTGCTTGTCTGTCATCTGTATTTGTTTCCAAATGATTTCATTTATTATTTTATTTGACTGTATTTCATTTTGGTACATAAAATCTATTAGACAGTGGCAATTGGCAATCTGGCAATATTGTGTACGATTATTGTTTTAGCTAATTCGCCAGTCGTTGAGTCGCCTATCGGGAAGAAATAATGATTGAATAATAGACAGATTATTCGTTTTGCATCTACAAATAATTAAATTTATTTGCTGTTATTTGAATTTTCTTGTGTTTGAGTTTAAAGTTAAAATACGTTAGACAGTAAATTTTATATACGTACATTGTACATATGTATATTATGTAATACATACGTTTTTTTAGTTTTTTTTTTCATATTTTTGATTCTGTTGCCTACCCTACTGTAAATGGTACTGCACGCCACTGTTGAACAATATGGTTTTTTTTTGTGTGGCGTAGTGACGTCACAGGTGATATGCGCAAACTGAACGGAATTGGAGCCGCTATCGATCATATATTCTATAAAATGAATAACTTTGAATCTTGACCGTTATTTTTTACCAACATGGCAAATATAAAATCCCTCTATCAAAAAAGTTACTGATATTCTTTCAGTTGAGTGCCTGAACGAATCATATAGGTTACTCTTTTTACTTTCGTGAAATAGAAAAGGAAAATAACAAAACAAGTGACAGTTCTTCCTCTTCTTGCAAAAATCAACACGAAATGTCATAATTGTCAAAAGTAAAATGTCATCAGCTTTTGACATTTCTAAATATCAGACAACAAAGAAAAATGCATGGCCGCAAGTTGCTAACCTAATAAAATTAACACTAGAAAATCCCTCGGGAACTGTCAAATTCAAAGTTATTCGTTTCACAGACTATAGCTTGTTTTTTTTTGTATCATGCGCGTTGAACAAATATTGACAGTATCGCAATTTCTCAGGTATCTAATACTCAAATGTGAATAAAACAATGAAAAATGTCAATGTTACGTGAATTTCATAACCTATTGTTGAGTTATGTCAACCTATTTTTCTTGGATATGTCATTCTTATTATACGAGGGACATGTTGAAGACGCTTTTTAGTATTTTCGATGTTTTGAACAATATTTATAGCTGCCAAATCGTAAATTATCAATTTCTTATTGAGGAATTTATAGAAAAAGTAATTTTCACTAAAGAGCAAGATAACGCAAAATCACATTTTTTTCGATTTTCACTGACAGTTCGACAAGCAAAACGATCCTTTAAGGTAACCGTTTTCGAATCGCTTAGCGCAATCAGTAAAGACGCTAAGCGCGTTAAATGAGAACACCCAAATCGGTAGTTAAATACGCGCTATGCGAAAATAAATGTCATACGCTGAGCGTCTAAAAGCGCTTAGCGTTTTCAAAGTTATAGAATTTGCTCGACTGCGAGATGTTAGTGCATGGCTATACATAGCTTGATTGGCTCATGGCAGGCGTCTCTCAAAAAATAGATTGAAGCAGTCTGACGCTCGTCCCGCTCTTGTGTTGCTCTCGTCTCGTCAGGTCTGTAAGCACCTTTAGGTTTCCTTTCCAGTTTTTGGCGCTAATGAATATGATTTTCACCCAAACTGTCTACTGCGATTTGAGTTAACCCGAACTCGTTCTGTTCTACTGCTGAACTGTTTTTCCTGTAGGACAATAAAGGACGGGTTTGGAATACGTCAAATTGAAGTTAAAAACTAAGCTGATTAATGATGTTTCGTTATTATTAGGGGTTCCAGTTCCAGAAGACATTCAAATCCTGATAATTCAGTGCAATCAGCCTCATCTGCCCAAGATATGGATATCTCTCCAGGGGACAGCACGCCTACTTCTGAGGTAAGGTACAAACTGTTTACGTTTAACATATGCCGCTGATTTTTATACAATGTTTTTAATTTAAACCTTAATATCTTAAGCACATGACCACAGAGAAAGTGAGTGTTTCAGCGTGTAAAGCGATTAAAGTGTCTTTTTATATATGTTACAGTAAAAATTGGAAATCAGTGATTGTTAACAATTACTAGTAAAAGCTCACATTCACTGATTTGCTAAGATTACGCCAGTAAAAGTTCAACAGCTATTTTTGATACCAACTTTTACTAGTGAATGCTAGCATTCCCTGGACGATAGCAATAAGTTTGAAAGATTCCGTTAGCGCGGTTGCCACATGTTGTAAAATATAAGGATAAATAAGGATAAGCTGGAATAATAGGCCTTTGAATAAGAAGACTAAGGAAGGGGCATAATGCTATCCATGTATTCATGCATGGTGGGCGGAAAAAGGACTCTAGGGTGGGGATCCTTGACATTCTATTTGACGATTCATTTGACACATTTGAATTTGATTTGAAATTTTGTGGATTTGTCAGTCTTTACGGAGCTTATTTTATGTTATTTATTATTTATTCTACTACTGATAGTTGTATAAAGGTAGTAAGTCTAGATGGAAATTGTGGCAGAACTTAAATTAACAGTGACACTATCGCGATTTATCGAAAAAGACTCTAAAATAGTTGGTTGTGTATATGCGGTAGATCTCGGCAAAAATCGAGTGAAATAATGGAACAGCTTTTCGCTAGTAAGTGACTATATAATATACATACGTGTAGTAAACCGATCATTTATGAAATTCACTTAAATTAACTAATTATATATTTTTTCTTGCATTTTTGCTTTTATTTACTAGTTGTTAAAGATGTCCTTCCTTAGTCTTCTTATTCAAAGTAATAGGCAATATAAGTATAACATTAAATTGCTAAACATTGGTAACGTTGACAACACCTGGCGCAAATTCGCTTTGATTTTTGTGGTTATGTATAATTGTTTTTTTATCATTGTAAAAAGTCCTGTGCGGTATTTTCCCTATGAAAGAAATTTTCTGTGAAAAATTAAGATAAACTAGGCACTCACAAGAATGTAATAGTGCTTGTTTTTCATTTTTTCAATATAATGAAGTCATAGCAAAAGTTAAGCATGTAAGAGAAAAATATATTAAGGAACCTAGTGCATACCTACGTTTTTGGTCAGTATAATATCAGAAAATTAACTAAGAAATTCAATTAGGGAAAATAAATATTGTTATTCGAATATTAATTATTTATTGGATAATATTTACTAGTAAATTTACCTTTGGGAATTAAACTTAAAAAGTTATCTAACATAAATATATATTTCACTGAATTAAAAGTCGGAAAAAAAAAGATTTTAAGTAATACATATCTTGTTTTTTGAAAATATGGAACATACTTCAGAGGTTTTCATACTTTTAGTGTTGTGGATTCGATACGATTTTTCCTATTGCGGACAGCTTTACATATTGTTGCGGACCCGTGTGGACTCGACCTATCCTAACTATATGTCCCGCCCTCAGATGACCTTAACATCGCATTAAAGAATAGACACCGTAATGATTCATTCGGACGTTCGAGAAAAATCGAGTTCCACTGGAATGGAGTAGTACATACGAGAACAATCGAAACCTTCTCTATGCACCTAACGATCTATGGACTATTCTAGAAATCTTTAGCTGTGGGTATAAAAGCCGGCGGCTGGAGCCTAGAGAGGGCAGATATAAAATAAGACGAGTACAGTTGACGCGCTAAGTTCAAAATAAATTCTTTCTAGATAAATAGTTGTAAATCGTTCGTAAATCATTCTTTAAGTCTTTTATCTTTATTGTTTTTGTTAATTAGTGTTAAATAAATTGTGTTTAAATAAATTGTGACTTTCTATCCACACGGAACCGACGAAAAACGTAACAATATAACTCTTTTATTAGTTATAATGTCTATTTATCCACTAGTTTATCCACTAACTTTATCATACTACAAAAACCATTAAAAAAAAAACAAATCTAAAATTTCGTCGAAAATCCAAATGAACTCTTTATTATCACGGAACAAACAGTAACAAAAAACACAAAAAGTGACATCAAAGAGTGAGATTAATAAAAATATTTTAATGTTTTGACTTAGAGTCAAATGTCAAAACATATATAAAAAGTATATTGAAATAATATGACAAATATTTTCAAAATAATAAATACATGTATCAGTTATATTAAAAAAAGTTTAATGGTGTGTATTTTTAGTAATTGTTGTCAACGCAGCGAAAAAACGCTCTAAGTTAGCATTCACGTCTAATATCGTTCTGCGCATGCTCAGTAGCGTATTCAGAGAGAAGGATAGGTTTATACGATAATCTTGTTCTAGAAAGAAAGAAATAGAAAAATTCATGTGAAAGTCCCGTAAACAAGGTCGTGTGTAATATACATATGGCATAGCTTTATCCACGAAGTTTATAAGATCTCAGATGACATACATCCGTTGTGTCCAAAAAAATTGCGTCTAATAACACAATAATTGCTCCTGTATTCTTTAGTCATTGGTATGATACAATTATTACCACTTAGGTGTCATATGGTCCCAGTTCGGCACACCAACCTCCTCTCGTCGTCGAACAGCCCGTCATAGGCCCTGTCCTGTTGGCCAACGCCCTGCCCCGGCTCTCGTCCCACCCGACGACCACGCCTATCGGCCTCCTCGCCACGTCCGCGCCGTCGCACTCGGCCGGCAACGCCCTAGCGACGTCGGGCGTGGGCGTGTCTCCGCCACCGCAGAACGCGACCATCACGTCGCAGCCGGGCGCTGCCAACGCTCCCGGCCCGCCGGGTTCCTCGCGCCTCTGTCCTGCTGACGGCGACTGTAAGAAGGCGGAACCTTTGTGTGTCGACACCAGCCAGAACGGCGGGGGCGTGGCCTGCGATGGTCCGCCCACTCCGACGCATTCGGAAGTTCCAGAATGTTCTAAAGGTAATTTTGCACCGTTAAAGTTTAGTATCAAATGAGATAAATATTGTTTCTCCAAAAAAATCCTATACGTGTATTTCGCCACTGCTAGAAAATCTATAAAATAAAATAATTATTTTTTGTAAACCTAACTGTGACAAGTAGTCTCCGTTAGATTAACGCAGCAGTGTTTACAAAAAATAACTAATTTATTTTGTAGATTTTCTTGCAGTGATGAAATACCCATATAGGATTTTTTTGGAGAGATGAACCCGCCACATAGGTATAGACATTTTTTATAAATACTGTTGCTTGATTTTCAGTGGTCGCAATTACAGGCAGTCCCCCGGCGGGGAGTCTGCCCCCCATGGCAGGCGTGTCGAGTTCGCTGCAGGCCCTCAGGCCTCAAGGGCCCACTATCACGCCTTCGTTAGCTAACCATTACCGAGATGACTTGGTGAATCACGTAAGGGGATGGCCTGCGGAAATTTTAGAAAAACAGGTAATCTCTCTTTTAGTCAATTTACTCAACATTTCGTCATGTATATGATCATATATTTTAGGCACAGAAGTTGGCCGACGAAGCACACATTATGGGTAGTATACAATGTTCCAAAGTTTCAGCTGAATTAAAATCTGCAAGATCGATAGTTCGTCTTACGGAAATTCAAGCCACATTACAAGAACAAAGGTAAGCGTCGTCATTTTGTAGCCTATTATTACTTTGCAATTGTAAATTTCAAGCACTTATTTAAGAGTGAATCGTTATAATTATTGATATACAGAGTAAAAGAAGTCAACAATTGCGTAGAGTAGTTTTTTACATTGTAATGTCATAGATAACTGGAATGTCAAAGTATGCAAAGTGTAATGGAACAACTTTGTGACGTCTAGAATTATATTTAGACATTTAGCGTTGCTTGTTTCGGAATTCTGTACGACCTGCGACATTCGTCCATCCCTATTTAAACAGGATGTGTCATAAAGTTCGCAACGTATGTGATTGACATTTTTAATTTTTTACTATTTACGTAAGAGCAAAGAAGAAATATTATATTGGGAATTATTCTTGTTGAATTTATTTTAGCTTACATTAGCGAAAAAATTAGGTATATACCGGGTCTTTGTCCATCACTGTTGAGGTAAGGAGAAATCACTGTTTAGTGTAGAGGTAAGGAGAAATGTCGTCGTGCATTAAAAAATGGTCATAAAAAAGGAAGACTTAAGATGGCGCTGCTGTAGCAAAAACCTAAAATTTAAAATATGCGCCGAAAATTTTTAGAACAGGAAATGATTCAAAAGAGACAAATATTGGACGCGAAGGCGCGGGTTTCAAAAAAATACATATTTTATTTTCATGTCACATGAAATAAATTATCGATATTTATTCAGCAGCAATAGATTGGGCCTCTAATATATAAAAATAATTGTTTTATGTTCTAAAAAATAAAAACAAAGCTTTTTGGGTAATGTTTGGTTATATGTCACTTTTATTCTCTTATCTATAGTTACTTTTCATTTTTTAGATTTATGCGTCATTAGCGCCACTGAAGTCATTTGGTGACCCCTTATTTTTCCCATTTTTGTGACCACTTTTTCAAATAAAGTCCCATAAAAGATATTTCTCCTCATCTCTACACTCCATATCTCGGCGCAATACTTGACTCGCCCTGTATAATTCAAATTTTGTTACAGAAGTAAATTTTGTGTATTAGGTTATATAAATATATGTTTATTTTCAGAATATTGTTTTTACGTCAACAGATTAAAGAATTAGAAGAACTGAAGTCTCAAAATTCGTTCATGTCAGACGATTCTTAGTGTGTAACAAAATAATTTACTGTAAAAAAAGTGGGCTAAACATTATGTTTTAGTGAGTAATTTCGCAATTACTGATACGTTTTTGTAGTATCTATGATACTGTTCGTTTCCCGCGTTCTCCATTACGTTTCCATCAAATTGACCTTATTTGGGACCACCAATTTCACTAAATTTATCACCCTAAAGCTTCATTCAGGACCTCAAAATTAGCGGTTTCAATTGACGTAGATATTTGTTCCTGTAATTTCAGTGTAAGCATTAAGAACGTCAAATTGAGCAGTAGTACTTTTCAATTAGCAGAAAAAGTTAAAAAAAAAACATTTTCTATTAGGTATAATCGAAAATGCTATTGCGCATGAGTGGGTATGTCATTTTGGCCTTTGATTATCTGTCCAGAGAAATTGTGGTTAGAAATAAAAAGTTTATTAATTTGTAAACTAATTATTAGGTTTCTCTATGGATGCAACTGACTAACGCAAGCTGTTGCTAGGATATTGTATTAATTTTAATTGTATTTTTGTAGATAAAGTGAATGATCGTAAATTTTAAAGTATAAAGCTTCATTCAGAACCTCGCAATTAGTTGAGTAAATTAGTGGTTTCAATTAGTGTAGAAGTTTGTTCCTTTAATTCCAATGTAAGAATTCAGAACGTCTACATTAGTGGTAGTCATTTTCAATAGGTAGAAAAAGTTGACATACTTTAGCTTTTCCACTAATTATACTTCAAAATTTGGGAGGAATGCCATTTTGACGTTTGATTATGATTCATCAAGAGAAATTGTGGTTAGAAATCAAAAGTTTATTGTTTTATAAGCTAAATATTTGGCTTTCTCGATGGATACAACCATAGACTTAAAATAAAATATAGACTCCACTATTTATATCTAAACGCGGTCAAACAATCTTTTTTGTACACGTTTACTTGTGGGTACAGTCGACCGAGCCTTCCTCATCCAGCCTATGTTATCACGTCTTTAATATTATCAATATTTTTTTTCTTGTTATACACATATATTGAGATATTAATACTACATTTTAATAAAGTAGGTTTTAATATTCCATAGATGTATTAAATAGTCCTTATACTACTAAATTATAAGTCGGATACTATTTAAAAAGGATAAGTTCTTTACAATATGGCAACACTGATTAGAGGCGAGGTCGCCTATTCATTCATTTATTACCTTGTAGTACGCGTCGCACGTGTGCGGTAAAGCTTTGTTGCCGCTATGTCATCGGCTGTATTAACGCATTTTCTTAGTTTGTAGTCGTTAAGTGTTTATTTTATGTACTTTTTCTGTTCAAGAACCATATAATATGGTTCGCCAGTGCCAAATTTGCAAGAAATTTGACTTAAATAATCCATTAAGTCTTGAAATGACTTTCGACCGGTAGGCAACTCTCAATTTACCAATTGGGAGTCAGTGGCGTTGTTGTAGAAAGGCGCTTATTTATATAATATTTTAGTAAAATGTAAAATCTGGATTTTTTCTATTACATAATCATTTATTTAAAGGTTTTTGTAACAAAATCATAATTATAAGCCTGTTATTATACATAATAGATAAATTATATTAGGCATCGGTTAAAAAATTAATAATGTTTATTTAAAATATATTCCGGTTTATTCTAAAACTATCTTCAGAATCTAAAATAACATACAAGAATTTTAAAATGATATTACATTATGAAACAATACTTTTTAATATACCGGGTGCGTCTCAAAAGTGCTTCACCCCTATAACTTTTTTATTTTTTCAGATAAAAAAACGAGATTGTTAGTGTACCACATAAATTAGGATTGATTGACGTATTCAATTGTTTTCGGTCACTTCCTATTTCACCGGAAATGATTACAACTTTTGATTTTTAAATGGCACCCTCGGTATATTGCTACTTTATTTGATAAAAAATGACACTCTGAATAGAATGACATATCATATGTGAACTTTTGACATTGTCGCTTAAAAACAAATCGTATTTTAAATTTCAATCCAGGGTGCCACGGCGGTGTTAAAAACACTAAGTTTTAATCAAGGAGTCTTGGAAAAATAGTTTTGATCGTGTAATGGGTTTCGTGTCTGGTCTAGGCAGGTTAAAAGATGTACAAATCGTATTTTTAATCATATGTCAATTTTTTTAAATGGAACAGGGGTGACTCATTAGCATATTTGGAAAAAGCATTTTTTTATGAATATATTGATACCACACACTTGGTATTTCGAATCAAATTGTCGTTATGAACCGCGTGTTACAATTACAATTAAACCATATGCGAAAATGTCAAAAGTTGACATATGATATGTCATTCTATTCAGAGTGTCATTTTCTATAGAATAAAGTAGAAATATACCGAGGGTGCCATTTAAAAATCAAAAGTTATAGTCATTTCCGGTGAAACAGGAAGTGACCAAAAACAATTGATTGCGTCAATCAATCCTAATTTATGTCATATACTAAATCTTGTTTTTTTATTTCAAAAAATAAAAAATTTATGGGGATGAGCCACTTTTGGGACGCACCCAGTATAATAAAGACATTACCGAGTTAAATAATGTAGTTTTTATTTTATCCACTTCCTATCACCTTCCTTGCTTTAATGGAACAGATTTCTGAGTTCTCTAATTTACATAATAGGACATCACTTACCAGTAAAAAAAATTACAACAATCATACACTTTTTTCTCTTTCCCTGTCGCCGATATAAATCTTAATAAAATATTAAAATATTAAAAAGTTTAAATACGATATATTTTTAATTGAATTATAGCTTCATTAAAATAAAAAAATTACCCGGCTATGATAAGGAGAGTTCAGGTGTACTTGAGAAACAAAAGACAGTGTTGCGTTTCTCGTCAGAGTCGTCAGGGAACGACCGTTACGACGGAGCCAACCTATCTATCGCTCGTGTCGCACTCGTTATAACCTAAAACAATAACAAGACATTGTCTGACCGCATCTTCCAGCTATTTATGAATGAGATGCTCAGTCTATATTTTATTTTAAGTTTATGGATACAACTGACAACCGCAAGCTGTTGCTAGGATATTCTATTAATTTTAATTGTATTTTTTAGACATTGTGAATGATTGTAAACTAAAAAGTATAAAGTGTAATTGAAACCACTAATTGCGAGATTCTGAATGAAGCTTTAAGTTTAATTGAAACCACTAATTTATTCCATTAATTTTGAATTTTAATTAGGTTTTTTTAACATTGTGAATGGTCTTAAACGCCGAGTTATATTCCACTAATTTCGAGGCCCCGAATGAACCATAAGTAATCATAAACATTAGGAAACGTGTGGAAAGTTTGCAATATCATATTTCCTATGAAATATTAATCGACTTTGGTGTATATTTTTTAAACTAAATTATTTTCATTGGTACGCGTCCCAGCAGATTTTCGACAATTTTTTTTGTATAGCTGACTAAAAACTATTTCAACTAGAAATTTTACGAAAGTGAATTTGTACTATATTGGTTTTATGTTTTTAGATTTTAGATAAATTAATACTACGATATAGAATTATTTATAGGTTTTGTTACTGTGTATATTTTCATTTTTTTTAAAGTGGTGTAACATTTTCGTAGTCGGTTCAAACGTTTCTAACGGTGTCAATTGATTGATTGAAGGTTAGATCTTACAAACAGGCCAACAACTCAAACTTTTGCTTTTAAGGCATTTACCCCCCACCCTCCGTTTTTGTATCCTAAAAATAAACATAAAATTATTTATAATTCTTGTTAGTTAAGTATACTTGTTTATAATTTTCCTTGATCTACTTGTAATTATTTTAATTATTGTTAAATATATTTTTTTCTATTTATATTTTGTTTCTTTTTATATTATCTGTTTAGCGCTAATGAAAATATACACACCGATGCCAAAGTTTACAGAATATAAGTTACAACACTAATTAATCTTTTTTTTATAATGAAGATAATAAAACAATGTAGAAATAAATTGATAAGCATTGTGAATTTTGAATTTCTATTATTTTATGAAGAGTTTTGTCTGTTGCCTTCTATCTATGACGTCACGCGTAAGCCAGTAGGCCTTTTTTCTCGATGTTATTGGCGGAAATCATTCAGTAGTAGGGATGAGCGATTCCGTGATTTTTAAATCACACTGTTGACTGATGTGATCACTACTTTCATACTGTTCCATTGTAATAGGTAAGCAATATAAAAAATGTCTATACCTCTGTGGCGGATTCATCTCTTCAAAAAAGTCCTATGGGTATTTCGCCACTTAAGTAAATCTACAAAATAAAATAGTTATTTTTTGTAAGCACTGATGGCGTTAATCCAACGGAGGCTAATGCAGTGGTTCACTAATAAACAAATTTGTTTAACGGACAAAAAAATAAAAATAAAGTGATGCAGTATATCGTGACATCTGATACCTTGATTTTTAATCAGTGATTTAAAAGTAAGATGTGATCACGACATTCATCTATTTCGGTTCTATATTAATTTTAAAGTAAACTAGTCAATTGTGTTCTAAATGCGCTTACCCTACTTCACACTTTATTATTTACAATTTATTTATTTACTTAGTTTATTTTATGACCCTACTTGTATTCTGTAAACTTTGCCGATGCCGTGACAATTTTAGGTCAGTTGGAAAAAAATTTCCAGAAAAAATCCATTATCCAAAAAAAATAATTATAAGGGATCATTTTTAGCGACATTCTTTGTATGTTTCTTGTGTATAAAAATTAAATGTTACTTTCTATGTGCTTTGGAATTTGAAAAAAAAAACTTACTTAAGAGCTAATAACCATGCTATACAATATGTTGTAATTTTATTTTTAAGGATATATATTCATTATTCGGAACGCACTATGTTTTGGGACAGCATTATTTCGTAACTATTATAGAGGGTTGTTCACCACATACGACACGGAGTATTGTAGCTAAACGATTAGATTTTTACAAATTGTAAGTTTTGGGTTCGTTGAAGGACTATTAGAGCTACAATTTAAAAATATTTTTACAAGATACAGAGTGTCCCAAATAAATAAAAAACATCAAAGTTGTATTTTTTTAAATGGAACACCCTGTATATTATTACATTTTTAGTTTCTACGATTAAAATAAAGGTAAATTTGATACAGGTTTATTACACTTAAACCTTACCGTTTTTGAAATATTTTCAATTTTGTGAAATTGCAGTCAAAATTTTAAGGCTTCATTTCTCCAAGGGTATCAAAGTTTTTAATACTAAATATTTACTGAAGTTTATTTATTGGTCAGTTATTGTGTTGCAATAATAAAAATTATACTACCTTATACAGAGTGTCTAACATTTTATTTTAAATAATTACTAGCTTTAAACGGCAATAACTTGTTTAATTTAAATGGAACATCCTGTATATTTTATGAGAATCAGATGCACAATTTAATTGTCTATCAAATTGTATTATACCATTTTTTACCTATAGCTTCAAGTTTCCGTAGAAAATGCATTTTCTTGTAATTTTAAATTCATTTATCAATATACCCATGGAATATTGACATTTTAGATTATTTTTAAAGATGTACCAAATTTTTAAACAGTACAGATACTAATATTGTCGATGTAGTTTGTTTATTTTATTAAAAAATAAAAAAAAACTGTTTAAATATTTGTTAAGGAGGACTAATTAATATGATTCCAGTATTCAAACTACATTAATTTACTGTTTGCGTTGATTAATAATAATTGCTCCAAAACCTAAAAAACTGAATTTTTTATGTGTATTATACAGTGTGGTAAAAAGTAACACCTTAAAAATGATATTTCATTTTTTGACAAATGCTTATTTGTAACAACAGAGACATTAATTTTTATAACTTATTATTATATTGATTTCTGATTCAAATCCACATTTATTTAGAAT